TTATTTACTAATAGTTTATTATAATTTCGACAGAATTTAGACAGTCACTAAGGGATTTCGGCAAGCAACCTTAGTCCAGGTAGTGTATATTTATATCATAATTATATTGTAATTATATTGTGATTATACTGTGATATATATATATATTTTTAATATTAATTTATTATAATTATATCATAATTATACTATAATTATATTATAATTATACTATAATTATATTATACTAATATTATTGAAATATGATTTAACCTGAAATCTTAATTAATATCATATATTAATTAATCATTATTATATTAACTACATTTAATTCATTAGTAATATTAGATTTTTTATTATTAGTAATATAATTATATGATAAATTTTCAAGTACTAATCAACTTTTTCACTAAGATTTTAACTTTTTTTGATATTTGTCAATTTCATGTTTTAAAAAGACTCAACTAATGAATTTATTATATTAATTTTCTTCTCTATTATTTAATTCTGCTTGTGAAAAATAAAGTATATTTAAGCTTTATATATTAGTAAAGAAGATAATTTATGAATCAGGTTTAAATATATTTTATTAAATTTGATTATACAAAATATTTGTTTTGAAAAATCAATATTTTTCATTTGAATTGTCTTATTCAAAGAATTAATTTGAATTACCTTATTTACAAAATTAACATTTTCAGTTTGTGTTCCTATATTCATTATATAAATAAAGATCTTTTAACTTTTTGCATATTCATAAATAATTATCTTTTAATATAAGTAGTTCTCAATTTGTTCACTTTTTTCTGTAATTTTTTCAGGTAAAATAGAATTGCACTTAAAATTAAGTAATTAATTAAAAGTTTTTTTAATCATACTTGATCTATAATAAGCTTATAATTAGGATAAAAGTGAGTATTTGTGCATATAAATTAATAATCTTTTTTATATTTGTCATTTTAATAATAATTTATTTTTTTAAATTAATTCGATATTAATAATAAATATCAAATAGTTATAATTCTATTAGTATATTAATAACAAATAAAAAATAGTTATTAATCATCATGAAATAATAATAAATAAAAGTTTAAAGTACTAACCCTCAGAAATATCTCAGATGATTTTATTTTAAAATAGATATATATATATATAAATAAGTTATAAAATTAATAAATTAAATAAATAAATAAATTATATTGAATAAATAAATAGATATATATAATAATTATGTATTACTAACCTGACGTATTTCTTTTCAAATCATCTATAATAATTTATAATGCTTAGCTAACTGTAAAACATAGAGATCATTTGATCTATATATATTCTAGCTATTTCTGAGATATAATATTTATAACTTTGATCTTCTTATTAACTTCTTTAGCACATTGAATTTTTTTAATAGCATTCTGTTCTCACAGTTCATATCAATATAATACATACTCATTATCAAAATCATATTCAAAATTGGATAGTTACTTGCATTTTGAGTATTCTTCATAATTTAGATCACAGTATTTATTACCTATACATGAAGTTTTCCAATAATATTTCATTCTTATATAGTTATAATTATTTATATTGATTATACACTATTCTGTATATATTAATTAATCACAAGAGAAACAGATAACAATTCCAATTTCAAATGTATAGCTTTTTCAAAATTCATTAATATCAGATCAATATGTTATTAACTTTTTAGCTTCAAGATATTTTTTGCTTTCAGTAAATAAGAGATCATTCTTCCTAAAATACATAAGACATTTCCAAATTCTTTTCATTCACTCACTAGAAGTCTTATTTGATGAAATATTACTCATCTTCACATATTCATTCCATTTATCATTAATACAATTAGTTTCACATAATTTGCTTATGCTAATTATTTTATATGATCTATTTGTAGTATTTTTAGAGATTATGTAATTTATGTCAAATTTAAGAATTATTAGATCTATTAGATTTGATTCTATATATTATAGATAATGCGATTCATTTTTTGTACAGGTTGAATTATTAGATCATTTCTTCAAGGATATTATATTTGTCATATTTTATTGGTAATATATATAATAAAAATGGAGGAAATTGTAATGGGATATATAGATATAATATTGTTTGTAACCTTGTTCATAATTTGAGGGATAAGAGTATGAAAAAAATATCCATACCCGAATATTGCCCCTCCCTTGTACTTTGATACTGCGAGAGATAATCTAACCATTTTAGCGATTTTTTCAGAATTAAGACAAAGAAATAATGGAAAGCTCTCTTTCTTGAAAAAAATTATTTTTGAGGGAAATCTACTCTTAGAAAAAACAATGTGAATATATATGCGATTCCTATTCTTTCGGCAAGAATTTTTCTGATATCGTACTGTGCATTTTTCAGGTAAAAGCCAACCTCTCACATGATCGCCTAAGTATCAATGAATCAGATATTCGGTAAGAACATACTCTCTTAATTTTTATATCGCTATGTAATAGATAACAAAGATTTAATACATATCACGCTCCACACACATACAGCATTTACATGTTAAAGAAGATAAACATGATGTGAGTGCCATTTATTAATATTCGTTCAGCATTGATAAACTAATACATCATTAATCAAAGAATAGAACTTTCAAATTTTGTCTATCTCTTAGATACATAAAATATTATACTATGTTTCTGAAAAGTTATCTCGTAATCTCTTCAAAGGTGACATGTGCTACATCAGGGAATTCATGAACTTTTCTCGGGTGTTTGGGAATTCCAGGACTACCTCGAATATAGACAATATGAAATCCAGGCACGTGCCTACCATTTTGGGTAACAACAAACTTATTTCTTGAATCTATTTCAGCAGAATGACCGGGACCATACATCTCATCCAAATACATCTCGATCTGGTTTCTTCCATTAATTTGCATTTGAGAGATACCAGCTTGTGCAGACATTACTTCAAATGCTTGCCTGATGTTTGTTGATGGTTTGCTGTTGTGTGTTACGAAATCACTGACAGATACCTATATGAATATAGGTCCGAGCATGTAATCGAATCGGGGATATCTGTCAAAGCCGCGACTTAAAACTTTATCAAAACCAGGTCCAAGGGATAAGCCAGAAGGCTTGATTATAGCATAGTCATCAAACTGGAGCATAACAACATTTCTATTTTTATTATTGAGATCCGTTGTATTGAATTGTATTGTTGTATTAGATTTGCACACAAGTTGATTGAATAAGGCTTCCTCAAATTGATCTCAATTCAGACTCCCTATATTGAGTTGATTTTTTATATTTTCAGGTAAGTCAAATGACATATACATTTTTAATAGAGCTTTCTGAGCAGATGGGCATAGAGGGAAGTAATGAATTTCCTTGTGCTCCATGTACCGATAAATCAACCCAAGATCTAAGAATGTCCACTCAAACTGCACAATTGGTTTACTGGGAAGAAACATACTTGTAAGAGAATCATAGTAACGGATTTTTTCACTTTTCTGGAGACTATTATAATAACTTTGAACAATAATCAGAAGCTGATCAATCCATTCATTCTCAAAATTTTTTAGTACTTCTTGAAAGTCGTTTACATCGGTAGTATTGGGATCGAGTTCACTAACATAATCAACTAGATACATAAGTTCTCGTGGCATGCAATTTGTAACCTTTATTGCTTCTTCTTTAATGCCTTGTTTACTCAGAAGGGGGTGCATCTGCAACAACATATCAAATACATTATTCTCTAGTGGAGCGACATAGATCATCCACCATTTGCTCTGACCATTTTTCATGTATATCATCTCATATTTAGCATGTGCAGTTCCCGTGAGAATTATACGTACACCTTTGTAATGTTCAGCCCAAAAAGTAAGGTTCATCAGAGGTTTCAAAATATGAAGTCTTTCAGGTACTGGATCCTTTTCAAATAATACACCATGCTCATCAATAATTAAAAGAGTTTTACGATCTACTTGTTTGAGTAGATTTTCCAGAATTTTCCCAGCAACCTTACTAGAAGAATAATCAATATTTTCATTTTCCACAAGCAGCTCAAGCTCGGCGCCAGTCAAAATATCCTTATTAAGAGCCAGGAAGTACTTGCAAATCACCATTCCTGCTTCCTCTGACGTGTTTAAACTTAGCTCAGCTGCATCTGCGATGTAAAGCATCAGCCATCCTTCAGCATATGCTTTAGCTGCAAGGAAATAGGTAATATATGATTTACCCACACCCATTGGGCCTGAAAGAACACGCTTGATTGAATGATCACTATCTGCTGAAAGCTTATCCCATATATCGATCATCTGCCCAGTAACAAGCAATGCTTTTCCTTGATAACCTTTAGCGAAGTGTTTAGGTTCCTGGCCAAGATGTGGTAGGGTGATTGATTGGCGAGCACTAAGGTTCTGGAAGGCATTTTGGAAATCAATGCGGTTATCAGGTACGAATTTCTCACTTGCAAGCATGTCAATTATTTGGGGTGGCAATTCTACGGAATGACCATCAGAGGTGGTGTATAACTTCCAGCCCTGTTCTATTCGAAGTTTCTTTATAGGACGCTCTACAAAGCGCAATAGGAAGGAAAGAAGTATAAATCAATATTTGATAAATATATCACAACGCAAACATAACAGCTATCAAAAAGGTATCGCGTTCACTCGCGTTGACTAATTTATTACGACTCACTTACCAGCAACGGGTTGCTCTACGATAACGTGGATGTGTTTTTTCGGGCGGGTTTGACAATAAGAAGCAGGAAAGAAAAAAGCACAAGATTAAGTAAGTATTCGGTATTATTAGCGAATATGACACGGTTTTGGGCGAGAATAAGTTCGCTTATCTCCTTGAATTTCTTTGATCAACTTAAAGATTTCTTTTGCGGGTCCAAGAGGTATTTGAATACTCAAAAGATCATCTCGTGTTAAATCAAGGAAAGTATTACCCTTAATCCTCTGATTATATATTTTATTGATATCTCCATCTTCAAGATCTAATCCAGTTTTGTTGTTTTGCAAAAATGCTTTAACGTCCCCTCGACTCCATGCTTTCACATGTTCAACTGTTGGAAGATTAGACATGACACCGGTTGAGGAACTTGTAACGTCAGACGACATAACTTTTATGATTAAAAAAGTAATGAGAGTAAAAATTTTTTTTGAGGTATACGATTGTCGCACAGATTGATAGACAGACGATCATGCCTTACAATACTACATATAAAAAAAGTGCCAAACTTCGAGAATGGCTCGATCAGAATTCCACCATCACGTGGTCATTTCATTTTATGCTTGTGTATTCTTTCTAACATGAGATGCTACATATCTGATATTATCTGAACTTAAATTTGAAGTGCAACAAGCGATGTCATGTGAGGTTGAGCTCTTGGGGAGCGATGTCATGTGGTAGACGTGAAGACTAACGGAAAATTTAAGACATTTAGCCGAGCATAATTCTATATAAAAATTTTTATTTGTGATTTATATCTCGGAGAAAAGAATGCTATCAAAGCCAATCGAGCATCCTCACTTCGTGAGACAGTGACTTATCTAAAATTTATTTATGCAGACATCAAAATAATAGAGTTACGATTTTTTTCTCCTGCAGTAATAGCGAATTTCTGAAAACTTGAAATGAGCGAAACTCAATGTCTTTGACACATGTAAAAATTGATGCAAAAATTTTCCTTACAAGATTTTGAAATCTACTCTTACATTGATATCCCGTATAGTTGGTACTAAATCTCTCATTAATTATATTTGCAATATTATTTCAAAAATCCACCCTACTACTACCGGGAATGTTATAATACTCCGCATTTCAGTTTTTTCTTTGGTCGATTAGTAAGCGTCAGTCCACATCAACAACTTTGCTTGATTTTATCAGATGCTAGATACACTTACGATGTGTTGTTTTTCATACAATTATATAAGAAAAAAAATCTACTATGTCTATATCGCACCTTTATCGCGCCTACATTGCATCTATATTGCATCTTAACCATGATATTTATTGAAAAAAGTTTTCTAGAAATGATTGTTTATACTATAATTTATAATAATATGAAACTTAACTAATCAGTTAATGAATAGCTGATAAATCATCTACATGAATATTAATATTATCCTGTTGCTCAAGAAATGATAAAGACTTTCTTAATGCGTCTTCACCTTCTTTTAATGAAATTTTTACTTCCAATCAGAATTATCTTCTGTTTCGACTTCATTATTATGATGTAAAATATCCTGAATGATAGTGTTGTCATTTAATATTGCAACAGAATCCTCTATATTATTAATAACAATAAATTCTACATTTTATATAATATTAGCATAGGTATAATAATAAAAAAGCCTCAATTTGCTTGTTATTTACCATCAGCAGACAACGGGTCTGATAAATTTAGTTGATTAATTAAATCCTGAATTAATATTCGCCTCTTCTTCTATTTTTTTGCTAGCCTGACTTATCATCACATCGAAAGATGTTTGTGCATTATATATTTCTATATTGTCATTGTTGATGCAAATAAAGTTAAAAATACATTCAGAAGACAATATAGGAAGGATATCAATTTTATTCCAACAATTTTGAATTGTTTCTATAATAACATTATTTCATGTACTAGAAATATTATAGATAGCATGCTTTATATTATATTTTCCATAATAGTTGTAACTGATGCTGGACAAATAGTTTTCTATACTATGCTTTAAAGCTATGAATTATTCCAGCATCAACAGGTTGCAAGCTCAAAGTTGAATTAGGAGATAAAAACTTAATAGTTATATTAGTTAGCTCATTTCCAGGAATAATTTTATGCACTGATACATTATCTAAGAGAAGAATAATATGTCAGTTCATGCACTTCATTCATTGATCAAACCATCTTAGCCAGTCATTAAATATTAATACCTATTTTGAAATTAAATTAATACTTAATGCTGACAATATATGTATTTATTATTAGTGAACTTACTTGCATATATACCTTAATATTCCAATAATATTGTACTGAAAGTAAAGATTTATTAACATGATGAAGAGGAAATGACATTTGATATTTATGTATAAATACTGGTGATAACTTATCTGTTTCAGAAGCATTCATTACTAATAAGATAGAAATTTTGCTTTTATTTTTTTATAACTGCTACTTTAACGATCAGATAAAACTCTTGAAGATTTCATAGTCCAGAAAAGTCTAGTCTCATTAGCATTATATATATTATCTAAGTTATATAATTCCAGTTCAGTACAGAGACGTATTCTTTCATTTTTGATATATTCCGGAGGGGGTGCACTAGCTGATTCATTATGATGTAAGATGATATACAAATTATAATATCTTTTATATTTAAATAACCACCCATTAGTGCCTATAAAATTCTTTATTCCTAAATGTTCTGCATAGACATGAGCTTTGGCAATAATTACATCCCTGATGAGTGAAAGATTATTTTTAATTATTGTTATTATTCATAATCATAATGCTTGTTCTAAGTTTGGTCATTTCAGTAATCGTTATGTAGATTTCTCATTAATATCAATAGCTAATCATTTTTCTGATTGAGAAATAATATCTTGTATCATTGATTTTCCTATTTCATAGTCTTTATCCAGATTATGATAGAATATATGAGGATTATCTCTATGACATTTACATATTTCCTGCTTTTTTGCAGCAGTTAGATGTGTATAGAGTTTGGAATATTTTTTATCAGTATCCATCAAACTTTCAGAATATGGATGACTGGATTTTATTAAATATCTGAATTAAAGAAAGAAAATTTGAATAAGTGTCTGAATTAATGAGAAGTTATAATATTACATACAGTGGCTTGCAAAAGAAATGAGATACTTTAAAAAAAATAAATAATTTTAAATATATTATAATTGAGCATAATAATTAGATAGATTTTTATTGATTTAAATT